AAGAGCACACAGTATATTTCTTATCCCAAAAATCCCATCTGCCCCTCCGATTATTTTGATGTTGTGATCAAGCGTCTGTTGAATTAATAAAGTCACTAGCCACTCGTTCCTCAAGCATATATGCTAATCGCCTGGTATTCGACTCTGTTCATTACATGAAAGGGTGTTCCATCAGCTATTCCAAGTTTCTTTTAAGACCTAGTATTTTGACAATTTCTGAATATTCAAAACCAGCTTCAGAACATTGCATTTCTTAGCTACAAACACATGTATACATCTTAAAGAAACACCCACTACTACACGTAATTGGCACAAGTCATCCTGAGGATACATAATGTACCATTATAGGTCCAATTATTCAGCTCATCAGGCCCTGTACCGCATCCTTCAGTGCTGGATAATGATGCTTTATATGGTTTTGCGTCGACACAAACTACAAATGGCAAAACTGGTTGTTTAAACGTGTAGAAATTGATTACTTGCGTTAGTGAAACATTCAGGTGCAAATAGCTGAGGAATATGCCTTGTACCTTTTGCCTAGATCGAATATGCAGTGTATTTATATCCCCACTATCGCTGTCACTTCAACAGCTGCTATTTTACCTGCAAACTAATTAGTTTTGCCTCGAAACCCGGAGACTTGCGAATTTAAACTCTCGACGAATCCTGAAGGAATTATATGTTTGCAAAAGGCTTAGTAAAATATCAAGTTAGTTCTGGTTATTTTTATCGACTCTTGTACACTTTCAATCTTTTTTTCCCTGTAGTTTTGTCTGACTTCAGATTGTATTCGTCCTTGGCAATGGTTTTCTGTTAATTTGCAATAATCAACCAACATGATTCAGATTCAACAAAAAATTAGTGGACCATCTACAGGCAATGGTGATGCAATTATGCCCTTATAAAGACAGCTACACAATGTTAATTTTTTCCAAATTATATAATCTTAGCCTTACTGCAATGAATATTAACAATTTAACATTACGTGCACATTGGCAATAGATTGGCAACAGATGTCACAGTTTCCCGTCTTTGAGGTGCCCATCAAACTTGCCTCTTGTAATTATCAAAAAAAAAAAACTTACCTCTTGTAAAAAGCGACCAATTCAAATAAAAACCCAGCCCAACCAATCTGACTCTTGGACTATTGGTCACCACAAAGACACAAAGACCTTTTAGTTATGTAAGTTAAGAATTTGACCTTTATCTCCTAGCACTTTTCACTTATACGTGACTTCTTCAAATTTAAACGAGTATATAGTATACTCGTCTAGTTCGATGTGATTTAGTCCCTTCAATTTCCATGGTCCAGTTGGGCAGTCCTTTAAATATGCACGAGTAGGAGTAATGTAGAAAATACAAAATGACAAGAAAAAAAAAAAAGGCCTAGCCCACGTTAGACAAAACCTACTTGTGAAGAATAAACGAAGTTTATTTCTTCCATGGAAAAAATAGACTTTATTTCCGAGGTAATTCATGAAATGATACTTTTTCACAAATTGTCACCTTTTTAATCTTTTTTATGCCACCTAAGTTCCTATCTTAAAAATGCTGTGAAGTCTCACATCAATGAACCTCCTCTTTGTTGTAAAGAAAATTTTTACTAACCTCCTTTGAAATTTATGAAGAAAATTTTCACTAACCTCCTTTGAGATTTATGAAAATTATTAGCTCAATGACTTTTTTTATTATTTTTTCCTTTCATGCAAAATTGTCGCCATCCAAAGTTTGGGAAAGTTTTATAGTCATTTTGAGTCCTTAAAAACGAGGTAAGAGTGTAATATTTGAAAGTAGAGGTGTTCTAGGTGAAATTGCTGTCCATTTCAACATTCATACTCAATATATGCATACACAAAAAGCAAAATCCAAGAAAGAAAAATAAAAAAACCAAGGCAATAACAATCCAAGAAAAGACATTAGATGTGTCAAATGCTAAAATATTATTAAAATGTTAATAGCATTTCTTTTTCTTCATGACGAACACGATAGTATTATTTCTGATAACCTGATATCGAATCCAATAGTTTCCAATATAAAGGACCTTGGATGATTAAGTAGTTTGGAGTATAACATTCTTCTCAATTATAACATTTTTTTGTTAATCAATTATGGAATATTATATTTATTGCCCTTTATTTTATCCCTTGAATTTGGTTTTTTGTGTTTGAATTTTGAGTATGAATGTGGAACTTGATAGCCAAGAGGTAGAAAAGACTGAATAAAATTACACCAATAAGAAGGTTCATTTAAGTGAGTTCTCATTGCATTCGAAATGGGAGCTTATATAGCATAAAAAGATTAAAAATGTAATATTTTATGAAACAACATAAGACTTGGAATTTTTTTTTTTCCAAAGAAGGTTGCTTTAGAAATAAATTTGGATAAACGAATAGATTAGTATTTTATTCTTTTGGGGAAAAGTACAAGCAAAAGCATGTACTTCTCCATCTAGTGTCAGTCCAATTCTACATTCGAGGATATCGGGTCCACTGAAAAAGTAAGCATACATATAATCCCGTTTGCCATGGAGGATCGGAGTTTGACTGGTACAGCCGCTTAGTTAACTAGGACACGGGTGCGGTGGGGGACCGAGGGTGGCCGGGCGACTCCTCCCCACCCCCGATGCCCACTAGTCGCCCGGCTCTTCCCCCAGCCGTTGTTCCCCTACAGGATCCTCAGTATCACTTTTTCAGTGGTAATTTAGTGTCACTTCTATATTTATGTCAAGTATCTAATTTATTGAATTTGTCATGTGCTGTTCATTTAAATTTCTTCTACCATCACGTAGTGAATGGGATTGATACTATGCCTGTCAATCGGGTCTAATGAGTCGGGTTTTGATGAGTTCAAACTTAACTCATTTAATTTGAAACATTTTCGGGTTTCGAGCTATGAGTTTCGGGTTCGTAAATGTGAAACTCATACTCAACTCACATAACATTCGGGTTGTGAGACTTAATCGGGCTTAGCCCAAACTCACTTATTACTCCTTAATTTTCTTAATATAATTACTATCACTATTAAGTTGTAAAACTAATTTAACATTTACAAGACTATAATATTAAAATTAAACATGAACAAATAATAGTTCTTAAAAAGTATATAAACCAAAAATTTTTTCAACAATATTTATATTTAATCCATTTAAAATGCATGAAAAATAGTAATAAAACATGCGATCATAAGCTAATACATCTTTAAAAGTTGAAACTTTTTTTTATAATCTTGTGATTTAAATCCAAATATGCTTGATGATTTTTGTGTTTGTAGACCAAAAAAAAATCAACCAATAATATGCTAATACAAAAATTTACTCAACCAATAAGAAAAATTAGAGATTTAGTTATGCATTACTAATATTGGCTCTCAAGAAAACTCATGAAAGAGTCTTTAGATGTATTTTTGTGTTTTATAATTTATATATATTTTTAGTATTTAGTAAAAATATATTTGGATATATAATTATACATAATATCAAAATATAAATATTATATATATAGGTAATTAAAGGGCCGAACCTATATCGGGTTTGAACCTAATAAGGCCCAAGCTCGCTCACATTTAATTCGGGCATAATTTTTAGGTTCAAACTCAGACCGGCTCACTAAATGATCGGGCTCATCGGGCTTTCTGTCGGGCCGAACGAGCCGAGCTCGGGCTGGCCCAGCCCCATTGACAGTCGTAATTGATACTGAATTTGATACCGAATAATGACATAGAGGATCCCAAATGTTCATTCCCAGCCTTTCATCCCCGTCTCATCCCGTTTTCCCCGGGAGGGCACTTGAGAGAATTAATAAAAATTTATCCTATAACTACATTATAGTCAAATTTTAGTCATGAATCAAATATTTAAAATATCAACACATAACTAAATCATTATTCACTGTAATTTTACACTTAAAATCCGTAAAAACAATCAAACAAAAATTATTTAAGTATAATCCAATATGATGAGACATACAACTAAATTTTATTGTGCTTTCTTTTTGGAAAAAAAATGTTATTGTACTAAGTATAATTAAAAATTTAATAAAAATATATTAATAAATTTAGCATAACTAATTAATAATTCCTATTAATATACATATATAATTATTAATATAATTAATGATATTAATTATATTATATACATTAATATATATTATAATACTTATAATTAATAATATTATTATTATAAGTTCATAACTAATCCGTCCCATTTTTTAACGGGAAAAAATGCACACACCCCCCCCTCCCCAAAATCCCATCAACTCCGTAAGCATCCGTCTTGATTGTCATCCCTACATATAATCATTACTATCACCATTTCTCACTACATATTTCACCATTCCTCACTACATATTAATTATAGGTTTGTGGAATATTCATAACCACAATCATATAATTCATTGATCTTCTTTTTCTTTCCCCCTACAGGAAAAGTTTGAACCAAGAGATATCAAATATTTTCCTCGTTTCTTAACCAAGAAAGTCTGAAATTAGATAATGACCAAAAATATATTTTAATTATCCACTTCCTAATTTGAGAAAGGAATTGGTCTAAGCCCAAGGCTCCAAATGAGAACTTATTTCTTGCCTTTCAAACAGTTTGCCATAGGCCTCAATTAACAAAAACGATCACTTCTCATGACAAATAGTGTCTTCAAACTCTGTTGTTGATATGAAAACTGTACTGGATCAATCCCAAAAATATGCCCTAACCCTTGGCAGTGATCAAAGCAGAATCCACCCAAAATTTTTATCAATTCCAAAGTTATGCCTGACCCATAATGGTAACCGAAACCCACCTTAACGTTTGAATTGTAAATTATTTGGAATATTTTTTACTGTAGCACTTTTTGTAACGTGATGTATGTAAGATAAAAAGGAAATTAAAAAACTTAAAAAAATGTATTGAAAATTATAATAATGATGTAAGCAAATATATTTGAACAAATAATCTCCTGTCTAAACTTTTTTTTTTACCCAAAACAAAATAAAAAAGAATACAACAAAAGTGCAGAACAGAGAATAGACAGATAATCCATTTGCCAGAGAAACAGCATAACCTCAAAGAAAGTTGGAAACAAGAATATCTGACCCAGGCAGAAATCACAGTGTTTATAAAGTTCATCGTTGCCATGAAAGTTTGCCTATACATATATTCACAAGCTTTCTACATACATGCATATATTTGAAGGTGGAGATGATGATTCCCAACAATGTCGACTTCATCAACTTCGATCAAATGGGTTTCTATTTACACAATCCGTCCTCCAGCAACATCTCAGCCACAATATCTAGTTTGACGATTTGCATCAAGTAGAATTCATAACAAACAGCAGGAGGTTAGGAAAGTCCGGGGAAGAGGGAAGACGGTGCAAAAATTGGGTAGTAGATTTTAGCTATGAAACATCTTACCACTATGTCCAGTTCCTCTTAGATCGGAGCTGAGTGAGCTTATCCCTCCACAGAGCTGTAGTGTAGCATATTCATAATCAGAACTCAAACGCTAATCAAGACTAACCAATTCAATATCTTGCTGTTAATTTGGAAAACCAGGACAACATGTGATGTATGACAGTGAAATTTCAATTAAATCTTCAAAGTTTCTTCACTTTTGATATCTGTCATGACGAAAAAGCACAAGATGCAGCAACTTTCTGTTGCTTAATATTTGGAAATCCATACCTTCAGTAGTATTTGCAACGGGAAGCCAAGCTTATGGATGAAAACAAAACTCAATCATGAACATTTTTCAATTAAAATGATTAAACATTATCGAGTGACTTATTTGTCTTAGAAGCATTGCAAACTAGTGACACTAACTTTTGTCAATCAAACAAAATTCCATACTTCACCTGGAGTTGGCTTTGATGTTTTCTAATAGGTAATCACATTGACACACAAAAAGCAACAAAAGTTGCAAATTTACTACAACTAAGTTTAGTACCAGAATACATCAGATAGAAGAGGTACAAGACTCTGCACTATATATTCTTATCTAACCTACAAACCAGAATGATGTACCACAAATATGTGATCAAAAAGTCTACCTGCGTCACGGTAGCGTTCCTCAACAGCAGCAATCAGCATGTTGCGCAAGAGATCAAACTCCTTTGTTTCAATGCATGGTTGGCCAGAAGGTCTGCATCGAGGTGACAAGATTTCATTATGTTGTTCCTTTGTAAAGAAAGACACCATTAAACGAAAAAACTACATCTCAACATGTAACAATAATTACGTTTTTTAGTTCTTCCCCAAGTTACCAGGAGATTGTTTGCCTTCAAGGAAACTAAGATAAACACAATCACATATCCATCTGATCCACTGACCAAAATTGAACCGCTAAGTTGCATGTTTGGTACGTTATATAGTAGAGTGGCCAACTATTAGGTTTTTTGCCAAATTGTTAATCATGCAGTTTAAATAGCATAGCCTCAGCATAACACAATTATAAGGTCCACCCCATCCCAAAACCAATGCCCCCAAATTCCCTCCCCAGGGGCCCCAAGCCCCTCTTTTTATAAGCAGCTTCCCCAAATTCGCATTGGAACAAATTTGATGGTTAAAAATTTTATACTTGTTGCACATCAAAATGTTTACTGTTGATAAAAAGATTGACTTTGCAGTAGTATTTTTGTTGCTCGACATGGTTATCATTTCCTCCCATTTAAATTAACAAATTTTTGGCACCATCCAAAGTCATTTTTTAAGGAACAAGACACATTAAATTGGAAAAACACTCAACGAAGCATGTAGCTTTTCTAAGTTGTAAGGGAATACAGAAGATTACCTATCCAGTTCTGTAAACAAAAATCCATCTGAAGCCGCAGCCTGCATTGATGGCTTTGCTGATTCAACAATCCTCATGCCATCACTATACGCCAGGTATTTGTTGACTTGTATTGGCACCTAGAAAAATGCAGATAATATGACTTAGGAGCCATTATTAAGGATGAAGCACATCATTTTGCTCAGATAAGAATAGAAATTTCGGCTAGTTTTTCTCTCTCTGGAGACTCATGATTATCAAATCAAGAAATTAAATGTAATTAAAGACAATAAGAACTACTTTCCCATTGAAAGACTGATTGACCATGACAAGTAGGCTTGTTCAGGTTGGACCAGATCCTAAGTACCCCTTAAATTATTGGTTGGGTCATCTAACACTACTGGATCCATGTTACATTGTTACTAGCACTTAATAATAAAGTGCATGTACTTTAGAAATTTACAATACAAATTTCCCCTTGTTTTTTTAATACGGCATTTTATGCAATAAATAAAATCGATAAATTACTGGCATTTCATCATTTACATAACAATTATCAATATTCCAAACTGGAAAGCATTGACAATCACCTTCAAATGCATAGCAAAGATATCAAACAAATATCACATCTATTCAGTGTTTACTTCAATTTACCTTGCATCTCACAGCAATATTAATTGCATCTGAGGGTCGAAGGTCAAAGCTGATAGTCTCAGTTTCATCACCCAACTGACATCATCACAACCATAAAATCAAAAGAATAAAAAAGAGGCACCTCTTAAATAGAACACAAATTTCAATTTGACCAAATAGAGATTGCACTTTGGTACCTTTGAGATATATAACTGAGCAAAATATGCTTCATGGACTCTCTTAGTCACACGAACAAGTTTCACCTAAACAAGAGGCAAGCAAGTAAACAAGATCAGAAATAGGATGGAAACGGTATAACAATTTGTTGGAGCAAACAGTAATTCAGAAAAGAGAACAATTACAAACTTACTGTGTACCCCATCTTATCAATCATTTCCTTAACCACTTGGTACATTGTGGGTCTAGCCTGAAGTAAACAATTATCTTGTCATTCACAACCTATCAAGTGATCCCAATTTCAAGGCTAAGAGTCTAAAAGGTGTGCAAAAATAAGACTCACAATTTGGACATTGCGTATAGCTGCCATAAGGAGCACACTTGGCATCTCCACTGATACAGCCAATGAATGGTCACAAAGATAAATCAAAAGAACAATGAGTACAAAAAATAAAAGCCTCTCCTAGTAAACTAATTCTCTTGGAGAATGATAAGTATTATAAAATACGTACAAACAATGATCGGAAGAAGAAGACCAGTCCCATCTTCCATCTTCAGAACAATTGCAGGATGTGGAGCATAATCAGGTAGATGCCCACTCTGGGGGTTGTTATGCACGCATCTTAAATGCCTACCATCCCTCATCTTGACCATGAAACCATCTGGGCCACTCCTCACCTCAACTGCAAAACATAAACAAGACAGAACTATCAGGAACACTTCATATCCCATTAGATCTTCAATGCTTGCTAGTAGAGCAAACATATATAACACGATACTTCCACCAAGATAACTAAAGGATACATCAAAAAACACTACTATCAGAGCAATCCTATACATAAGATTATCTGAACATAAACAAAACAGAACAATAGGGACATTTGACATCCCTTAATATCTTCAATACTTGCTAGTATAGTACACATGAATGACACAGTACCTCCTAACCAATCAAATTAACACTAAACTCTGCCAAGATAACCGAAGGATACATCATAACAGTCACTATAAAAACTTCTTTTTAACACTACTACCAGACAATCCTGCTCATAAGAAAATCTGGACCTAAATGACAAGGTCGCTTGTGGTCTCTTTTCAAGAGCAGTTTTTCCTTAACTCCTATTTTATTACCAAAGAATTGAAAAGTAGAAACAGATAGTCTCAAAGCTGACTATATGGGTTGTTAATCAGACGAGTCGTCGGACACGCTTCAGAAAGAATGAAAAATGCAAATCTTCCTCTCTTCCACCCTATATGTAGGCGACAAACAAAATAACAACAAAGCCCAAATTTTGTCATGTCTTTTCTTCCTTTTCCCAGTAAGGCTACTTAACCTTCAATTTACTAGTTGAATGAACCGTATCATTTTTCTCCACTGCCATTAATCCCAGACAAGAAAAGAAACATTCATATGCGAAACTCACAATAGAAAATATCAAACCTGACAAATGCAACTGTAAATGGATCCAACTCCAAGACGTGGAACGTAAAAGAATTATATTAAAAAACTTTCAACACAAGTAAACCTGCTTCTACCACACTGGAATTTACGTAATCTGCATCATTCTCACTGAAATTTCCTGCCTTGCTACCATTGCCATTCGATGAAGAACTGAAGGTACACCTGATCACCTTTGTCTGGCGAGGTGTTTGATTTGGTACATTGAACCTATTATTCACTTGAAGCCCAAAGAATCCACCTCTAACTAATTTAGCAGCCTGTCCCAAAGGTGTATAAAAAGGTACAGTGTAAACTCCAGTTTGTTTAGCACGAACCACGGGGCAAACCACCGGCCCTTGTAAAGATGCCATCTTTGCTCCTTTGAAAGGCATCAGAAAACAAAAAAATTAGAGAGGGGGAAAAGCATCTAGTAATACAGATTCATCATTGGAAGTGTTAACAAGATACGACCATCATCCCCTCACAAACATGGGTTAGCAAACTTTAGTATCAGATAATACAGAATTATCCAGTGCGAAGAAGTACTTTTTTCACCCTTCGTCCGAATTATTAGTCAGGATATTCAGAAACAAAGTTGAATGTTTCCCAATTCATAACAACTTAACAGCCGATAAATTACCAACAAAATTTTACCTTCGCAAAAACACAGTCTCTTCTTCTAATTCCTCTGAATTTATTATTATCGCAGGCCAACATAACTGATAATTTACAAAATCCTTTCAGATAAAATCTTTTTTACTTCAAAGTTAACAGTATTCCATTCAGATGAAAGAAGCATGAATCATTTCTCATTCTTTTCCACTTCTCGCATACACTCACGAGTCACAACCATCAGATACAGTCAGTTTTCTCAGAGGTTTTTCTAAAATTTAGCTAAATTCAACCCAGATTCGGACAATCTCATGCATGGATCAGCTCAATTCTTTCACCGGTATCCTCCTTATATTACAATCGATCACTATAAATACTTGAGTCAAATTAACTCAAGATTCAATTTTGCACAGGTAAACAGTCGGAATCACAGATGATTAATAAACAATTAATGAAGAAAACAAATGGGCCTAACTATCTCACTTAAAACAACTTTTGGCTATTTCGAAAAATATATATGATGAAAGTTGTATCATCGAACCATCCGTGTTCAGACCTGAAGCTGGATAATAAGAAGCTGCTGATCTTGTACAAAATTTAATAATCAAGAGTTTGGCTTCGGGTCGACAATTACAACAGCAGTCTTCAAATTCCCAATAACTCTCCAAGAGCCAACAAGATCTCAGTAAAGATCTCACTGAAAATCTTCAAAAATGATAAAGGGGTTGAGAAAATCAAGAAGATTATTAAAATGGAAAAAGAAAGAAGGAATTCACTACAGCAGTAAATGGAAAGCAGAGGCAGTGGCAGCTGCAGAGGAAAAGGGAGGAAGGGAGGGACCGACAGAGAAGACAGGATAAAGGAAAGAAGAGAAGGTGTGAGAGAGAGAACAGAAATAGTCTTCCAAGTATGAGAAGAGGAAATAGATAAGAGATTCTTTTTCTGTATTGCCTATCTGAGACGTACCAATTCTGCAGTCTACACTCCTGCAGTTTCTTGCTATTGGCAAAGATATTTAATGGAATAGAGCGTTCACTTCGTCAGACCAGAGTCTCAGTAACCATTGACACCATTTTGGCATATAGCCCATGGTTTGATCACATCCGTTAAGCTCTGTGATTCCCTCCGTTAGACTCTTTTGATGGAATTATCAATTTGGCCTGTGTCTGTTTCTCTTTCACTCTTTTCGTGTATCTTGACTTAAATGCACCAACTTTAGAACATTTAATCAACTTGGAGTTGTAAAAATTAACCATGTGGATTTAGATGGACATGCAAATTTACCGGATCTAATTCAATGAATTGAAAATAAGGGGACGAATTACGAAAAAATTTCACGAATTCTACCACAATGTATCGTGATGATAAACTATTAAATACGCTAAATCACATTTTTAATCTATATTGGTCGGCATTCTCTGTAAAACTCAATCTATGTTGGTGATGTTTGAACTAAAGTTGTATTTACTTTATTAGTCGATATAATTATCTGAGTCGATTATTTAATTTTTCACGTGGCAATCCTGCATTCCATTAATATAGCTAATCTACTAATAATGATAAGAAAAAGCCAGGTATAATAAATATTTATAAAATCTTTTAAATTTCATACTGTTCTCTAATTTATTAACAACTACAAAAATAATACTACCTATTTATAAATTACAAGGAAAAGAATAAGTATGTTGCAAGACATTGAAAAAATTGTATGCTGTCGAACGAAAAGCTTTTGAAAAATACTTTAACATGGTGAAATGTAAAACCTACAATTAGAAATGCATATTAATGACAATTAATGTCAAAAAAAAAAGTAGAAATTCCACAAGCATAAAATTTTAAGGGACATTAAGTAAAGACAAATGAGTTTTTTTTATTGTACAGCTTAATAGCTAATTTCTTATAATTTTGAATTCCTTTCTAATTCTATATATAAAATCATACTAATATATATTCATTTGCCACTCTTTTTCTTTTGAAACACTAGAAAAAAAGAAGTCACATTGGATGTTAAAGTGTCTACGGCGTAACATATTACCAAGGCTATTTATGACCTTTCATGAAAGATCTAAAAGTGCTGGTTTGGATGGCGTCAGCAACAGGTTACTGACAGGAGCCGCACTGCCGGCGGTCGAGGATATCCATCACTCCAAAGGTGTGGATGACTGCCACGTATTCGGCTACTCCAACCGAGATGATCAGGATCTGGATAAGGTTACTTCTTAGTTCTTACAAACTCAGGGTCCCCTTGCGCAAAATTCCAGGGACCCAATTTTAGATGCCAGAACCTCCATCTTGATCTTAAGTTGTTGAAAGTTGACGGATGGGGATCAAATCACGACCTCTTCTGTATAGCCATGAGCACATCTGATCTCCATCGCTAACTACCCTTTTCGCTGTGATTAAATAATTGTTATTTGCACAAAATTTATTTATTTTTATAACAAATATATTTTTTGACTTAGGTTTTTATCTCGCTTACATGATAAAAAATGTTATAATAATCATTTTAAATAATAATTTATATAAAGTTCTGTCCAACCCATATTGAAGGGGGCAGGGGATAATCCCCACCATTTTTTTCTTTTTCTTTTTTTTTTGTTTTGTTTTGTTTTATAAAGTTTGACTTTTGAACCTTGTTGTATTCTAAAGGTTGTGCGTTGGCAGAAAACATTTGTTATAGAGGTTGCCGGTGGAAATTTGATTCATACTAATTGAGAATTTGTCTTTCTAGATAACTTGCACCTTAATTAAAGACAAGAAAATCAATGGCCAACAATATGATGTTGGCAACAACCAATTTACAAAACCAAAACTGTTTATGCTATTCTAGTCAAGAATAGCTGTTTAAATTTGGCATAAGCACAAGGACATCTGACCTCCAATATTTTTTTATTCCCTAAAATTATAGGCAATAGGTAAAGGGTAGAACTTAAGGAGTGAGAAGGAAATAGACGGGATTTGAACCCAGACTCCTAATATTTGAGGTCTTAACTTATCCACTAGATCAATGTTTCATCAGCATACGATCTCAAAGTAGTAACTATGATTTTTTTTTTTTTTTTTTTTTTAAAAAAGTTGGGGATATTGAGTGTGTTTGGATAATTTTCGGATTACTATGAAGTGATATTGAGTTGTGAATCTTGCTAGTAATTAGAAAAAAATTAATTTCTAAGGTTATTTGGTTGATGGAAAATGTTTAGCTCGTGGAAAGTTGATTAATTGTGCTGGCCAGATAACTTGCTTCTTACGCAATGACAAGCGAATCAATGATTGGTTCATTACAAAATTAAAGATGTGGACAGCAATTAAAAACGAAAACCGAAATTGTTTATTCCATTATAATTAGAGTAGCTGCCAAATCTTGGATAAATGTTTTGAACTTAGGGCTCACGAATGTGGATCGGATGGCTATTAATTTGTGAAATTTGGCATAAAAAATGATTGGGACTTCAATTCATTGACAACTAACATAGGTGCCCAAATCACTCTTGCTTTTTTTTTGTGTGGGGTTAGTTGAGTTCAACTTTTAGTTATATATGGTGTTTAAGAATTTGCGCAAGGCGGAAATAGAACTCATGAAGTCGTACGGTTAAAAGTTTGGGCGTGAGTTCCGCATATAAATGGAGGCACGTTCTCACAGATGGGGCGGTTTATTTGGCTGTAGTTACAAAAAGATGAGATAGGGTAGAAGAAAAAGGGATCCGTGCTGCGTATCCTTTCCTTATACCACACAAGAATGAGTTGCATTCGAAGAAGGAGGTTTAAATTTCAACCATACGAACAGGAATTTTTTTAGAAATATGGAATATTGTGTAATTTTTTTAAAAATTTTTGGTACAATTGAGGGCAGCATGTATTTAGATATATTTATCGACATACTCTCGTTTGGTACATTTAAAGTTTTGATCTATGGATACATCTAAGTATTTCTGAAATATGAAATTATTTTACAATCATTTTTCATATAAACTTGTGTGTTGGTGTAATTATTGAAATGGTGTTATAGACACATTTAATTAAAGTGTGGCTTTTGTTGTGCAATTAACACAATAATATATTAACACGTTGCGTAATAAATAATTAACATGTTGCTATAACTAGCCGTGTTGGAGGGTATTCCTTTATCTGAAACAACTTATGTCTTTTTTTGGACGATTTTCAACTGATATTTGTAGGGATCTTTTGGGAATAGTAAAATTCTAAAAGCATTGATAAAGTAAAGTGTACGAGTGTGTGCTGTAATTAGGATGTACTATTATTAGTTTTGTCATATTTGATGACTATTTCTTTCTAAAATATACTATTATTTATCCAATGAAAAATTTTCTTTAACCATAGGTATCAAACGACCGCGCGATGCTTGGCACTCCCCCCTAGTATTCTCCCATATAAGATTGCAATTTTCTTTGTTCAATTTATTTATTTATTACGGAGAAGATATGCTTGCAAATTTATGTCCCGCGCTTTGATTGCTAGCCAAGAAAGCATCTAATTCTTGTACGAAAGGCAAGCAGGCATTTATTTCAGAAAATAAATAGAAAAACTAGAAACTAGTTTACATGAAGGTGGATCATGGACACCACTCCAGCTAGTGTTAAATCTCAAATCATATATTGACTCTTAATGGATCAAACTTGGTCCATCCTGGGCTTTGTTTTTCAATGCTGTTTGGTTTCAGAATGACCAAATTTGCTCCACTAAAGCTTGCAATTTGCAATCATTCTCACAAAGGCAGTCAAAAGGTGGAAGTAAACATGCATCAACGCAAAATGTTGGGCAAAGATTGAGCAGCAGCACTGCCTTGCCCAGTTGCCCCCCGCCTAATTTTGTCTTTTCGATTTGAAATAGTAGCCCGCTGCCAAATGGAGGCGGAGGCCTCTAACTCAAGTGCCACCACCGAAGCTAGGCGGCGGCCAGACGCCCCCGCCACCGTCAGCCACATAAGACAAGCACGACATTGGCACCAGGCACAGCCCTCGGCTTCGGAGATCTCGTTTTCTTTCTTCACCTCCGTTCTCCACAGCACCCTGAAAATATATAACGCACCACCTTTTCAGATACTTGCAATTGACTCAATTTCTTACACCAAGCTGCCTGCCTAATAGGCGGAAAAACAAAAGCGATGCAACTTCTTTTATTTTTAACTTTTCCTTTGAAAATAAATAAATTCCAACAAGAAGAGAATAAGAAGACAAGAATTAAAAGAAACAAATTAATTTTCTTCGCTTTTTTTTTTTTTTTCTCTTTTATAAATGTAAGTGTTTCCCATTTGCTTACCCCATGCACGGTTCTACTGGACTTGTTGCGCGACGACTTTAGATATGGGACGCTCAGTGTCTACAATAAAGAGCAGAACAGTAACTCAAGGAGAAATTATGCAAACCAGAAGATATGTAATTATCATCATCATATATATATATATATGTCAAGAAATTAGTTTCCACACTCAGGGGATGATGATCACTGTTCAGCTGCTGGACCTGTCGCCCTCAACAGTCCTTATCTTCCTTAGAGCGTGTGATGCTATAGATACTTAAGCTCACTCCTTAATAATGAATGGTGATTCTTCCGATTAGCTTAGCGTGTTCGAAGAGTGGTTTTATCATTTATGGAAATAGGCAGAAGAACAAATTTGTGGGCTCAATGCATGGTTTTCCCGAGCATATGGGCAGTGCTAACTGTTGAAATTTAGTCACATGATCAAATATATACAAATTAAAGATGATATGTATGATGCATGTTGTGGTATATGCTAGATTTTTTTTTTTTCTCAAACACAAAATATCTTACTCTTTTTATTCATCTTAGAACAGTAGCGATACTTGTTCCGTCTTCTTGATTGAAAAAGTAGCAATATCTTACTCTTTTTTGATTTTTGAATGAACCAAAATCTGGCATCTCTGCAAAATTTATTATTGTCTTAATGGTACTCAGTGACACAGTAGTATTATGCAGCACAAATTTGAGATAATAATGTCTAGTCAGATTAGTACAGCTACTGTTAGACAAAAGCAGTGATAATACACATGGTTTTGGTAACAGGAGCAGTGGAATTATGCATGAGGCTGCCTAGATACAGTGAGCTGTGTCACAAAAAACCAGGGACCAGGAAGAAGAATGTTTCTGTAAGGTGCAAGAAGGTACCTCAACTTGGTTTTGAAGGAATTTGATATACCCGATGGCCTCCATTAGTACGGATGCTGTGTCAGTCTGCAATATTCTCCATTCCACGTGATTGGGAAAATAAAACAAATTACTTGTAGAAAACCAATAGATTCTTCGTGGTACACGAAATTAATTAAGAACAAATTAACTAGATGCAACCTTAATGTTCTCTCCAAGCCATCCATAAGACAACCTTAAAGCTTAAGCATGTTGAGCAAGCATGCAGTTTTTTGGCTGTATCTAATGACTACTAAAATTCCTGATCCACACCCTTTAGGCAGATGGTACTTAAATTAGGCTTTAGCGCGTGATTGGGAAAATCAGCAGAATTTTCGTCCTTGTACATATGATAGATCTACTTCAATGCCCCAAAAAGTAATCAACATGTTGGAATCACAATCAGCAGATGGCAACTCCGAAGTGCAAAGCTCTAACAGCTGTTCATCAATAATATGCCAATCTATGATTCTACGGCTATTACAACTTTTACGCTTTAATGAAGTCTTTCCATGATTAAACGCTAATTAATTTGCAAGATAAAGAATTGCTAATACGTACTAATGGTGTTACTTTTTTAACTACAAGTAAAGCCAGCAGTAAATCCTTGTAGCCCTCCTCGATCCACTTTGGTTCAAGCCTTTTATTTCTTTTCCCCTAGCTAGGCTTCTAGCCTTATGCTTCTGTCATGTATACAATAATAAAGATGTACGTATCATTAATTTAATTTTTAAATACGCGATGGACAAAATCTTATAATGTTTCGAACCTCAAATGCTGCCTTTAACGATCATAGAAGATTATATTATTTACCAGCTCTAATGGAAATATTTAGACAAGTGAATTATCAAAGCATTGAAATAAATGTTGCAACTCCTTTTCTTTTTCCCCCCAGAAGTAAGAGACGCCGAGTTCTACCTTGTGGTCTGGCTTAATTATCAGGCGAAAGCTAGCTTCAGTACTTTTTTTTTCTATATCCTTCAAATTTTCAACAATCTCTTTTGCAAATGTTGGTGAAAACTCTAGAATTCTTCAAGTACCTTTTTCCCGCAACGAGTTTAATTAGTGCTAGCTTAAAAGACACGTTCCAATGTACCACGAACGCAAAAGGATTCCATTTGCCCACAAAAAAACAATGAGATGGGGGATTACATATCCAGTAAGACTAATAAATATAATGAGTAAGAGTTTTGTTTTTTTTTCTGGCGATTTCTTCAGTTACGTACAGGAAGATGTGCGCATATATAAAGAACTCTCGTCAACGAATTGTGAAAGTCTTCGCGGAGCGATAGAGTGGCAATAGACCAAGAAGAGTGAACATGAAAAACATATTTGTGGGGGGACCATTGAGAACTGAAAAGGCCACATTTTGTTATTGTACTTGATGGCATTATTACTCCGCAGGAAATCCCACGCTATGCAAGGACAGCAATTTGATGATCATAATAATGATGTCAAATTGACCTTCCTATGACGTCATCTTTCTCTTAGGTTTTTTCTGTGGATCAATTGTCCGGCCTCTTGCGGTGAAATGGTGTCCGCCCATGATCGTTTCTGACGCTGATCGAGTTGCATCGCTGCAGTCAAGCAGAGGAAGAATGAGATATATCGCACACGCAGGAAAAGGGATGACAGATGATGATTCTCTGGGCCGGTGTATACTCTGTTCAATGCTCACGAACATTTTATGGGGACACGGGCTAGTGGGATTGATCATCATATAAGTAGCTTATTCCTTCTGTTTACCAATTTCGAAAGAAGATTAAATGCTGCTTGTGGTTTTGGATCATCATGAAATAGGGTTCAAAAAATGATCAAGTTTTGATTTTGATTTTTTTTTTTGGTACAGTGGAGGACCATGGTCCCGTTACATAATAATAACTAGACGAGGTATTGCCCCTCTGCAAACATCCGGGCTGAGAGGCGTTTCCAGCGCCTGTGTGGAGGGTTCTTGAAAACAGTTATCCCTGAAGCTAAACTCTTACCTAGCTTTGCTAAATGATCTCCACGGTAGTTTCCTTCACGCCAGGAAACTGCATTCCCATTCATAGCCTAACAACCCTCGGATTCCCGCTACCAAATTCCAATACTGGTTCCCTTCAGATGCTTCTTTTATCGGTGACAAGGCCAAAACAATCCTTTTCCATACAATGACTATTTCCACAAGATTACAATGCAAAATGAAAAGCTTGGAGTAATTTTTGTCACACGGGCATTTGGCATCACCAAATACGTTGCAAAAAGAATTTGGCTGCGTTTAAATTGAAAGATTTGACGAAAGATTTGAAATGCAATCAAATCACATTAGATTGTTTAGATTATTTGAGATGCATTAGGATTTGTAATCCCTTCTAGATTGTTTGAATTACTTGAGATATTTGGGGATGTAATCTACAAATTATTTAAATACATCTAAACGCTTAAAATAATTGATGAATTACACGTCTAAACACCTTCCAAATAATTTAAACAACTTAAAGAGATTTGAGAACATTTCAAATTTGTACTCAAATCTCTCAATCCAAACACAACTGAAAAGAAAATGAAAATCTCCATAGCAATCCTATGATATATTAAAAAAAAAAATTTTTAATCATGTTGAGCGCGAAGTATGGTAAAACCTTCTTGATTATTATTTCTTTGTCATATCCTCTATAATGGCAATAGGGGAGGATAACGGTAGATAATGCATATGTAGGGCTTTGCCCTTAATACCACAATGGTCGTAATATACAAACAAGTGTATACAAAGTAAATAATTTCGTAATGTCTAGGCATGACGCACGCATATGTGGCACTTGGTCCTTCATCAATTGCACGAGAATTAACCCATGCATATATCAAAGTGCACACCATTCACGATCTCGTTTGAACAAATTGACATAGAATCCAAGTAAAAGTGGATATAATTTGACATTAACGCCAACCTCTTGGTTGGTGAAGAAGGGAAAGAGGACGCCTATGTTCTTAACATGCTCCATATATGTTAAGCATTCTTAACATTTATGTTGAAGTGGTGATGGTTAAAAGCCCCAACTTCTCGAAGCAAAGAAGGTGAAAAAGAGAGAGAGAGAAAGCCGGGGGTATTATATCCGATGATTTTGTTTGTTGCTAAGGATGCGTGTGTAGAAACACATAGTATATGATAGGATGAAGATAGAAAGAATGAAGAAACACATTAAACTATGATTAAGACGTGATTCCCAGAAAGAAAACCTATAATAATCCCACGAGGCCCACAAATGTTCAAATCCTATGAAAAGTGGTAGATGGGAGAATGTGAGATCAGAGTGTGGGCAACTTTGCCGTTGCTTTATTGCCCTTTTCTTTCCTTTAATCTTTACAGCATGCTCAAACATCCTGCGCCTTGTATTTTATTATTTAGTATGGCTAAGCAGACAGGGAGACACCCGCACAAGCACACCTTTCTACCATTTTTATTTTTCTCTTGGATTCAAAGCTATTTTTCTTTATTGATATCCCCCTTTCTTGTTACCTTTCCATACCTGTTAGTCTCACTAGCTTCCAAGATTGATTTCACAAAAAGCTGTTTCTGCGTCAGGTTTGCGACAGCATTTTCTTAAATAATCTTCTCATCTTCAACAATTCACAAAAGATTCGTTCAATGCAAGATAAAGGTGGGCTTTGAATGTCCTTTTTGCTTCAGAACATGTCTACTTACTGGCATAATTAATTTCCTCTTTGCTGTTATAATTGGTTTTGATTACTAATCAACATTAACGTAATAAGCAGCATAATTTGCAAACCTTTTGGTCTGGAAGGTTGTGAAAATTGGCTAGGGACTGGAATGCTTTATCATAGAGATTTTGATTTCCCAACTGAGTCCTGAACTGCCTCTTTATTCACCATTGAACTAACATTTTCCTCTTCTTCATCCAATCCTTCAAGTGGCCGATCCATGAAATGAAGTTCGCAAGCTATATATTGACGGATGCATATTATTCTTTTTTTCTGATCAACAGTACTGATTCTTTATCTAACTTTTGATGACTGAAACTCGTGGCTTACTAATTACTAGTGAAGCATTCATCACCTGATCTATATATACTTCGTTGTGAAACTTAGTGGAACTTCTTATTTGTTGTACGTCGAGACAAAAGTAAAATCTTGATTTTGTTAAGAAATTAAGTCTCATACGGTAAAAAGGGGAAAAGAGAAAATCTTGGGGAGGGAGGGGGAGGCTGCAGGCACTCCCGTGCATTCTTCCCACCCTATACCTGCCAGCAGCCATTCCCCGGCAACCCCTTTGGGTTAATTCCTTCCCCACATGAAGGTGACAAAGAATCAGTGGCTTTATAGCTTAGGTTCACTAAGATTCTTGTGCTTTCTAATCATGCAATTTCGTACTACAATAATGACATAGAATATTTTCCAGTCAAAAGTATCTACACATTGCAACATGTCAACAGCTCTATAAATTGTCTAGGATTTTGTAAGATGCTTTGAGCATTTCCGGTTTGGCCGGAAAGCTGAGTTGACATGACAAATTAGACCAAACGATCTGAGCAGGATAACCTAATTTAAAAAAACAAAAGATACTGAAAATGAGCAAGGAACAACCGATTGGGCGTGAATGTGCGATTACTCACTGATTTTAACAAAAAAAAAAAGAAGAACCAAAACAAAAAGAAGAAAAGCTAATGATGGATCCGAAATGTTGGTTTTCTTAAAAACATTTAGAAAACGAATAGCGCGGAACATTATCCCGTACTCTTCACCCAATCCTGCTCGTGCTTTCCCCGACTCTGAAGTCATACTCATATTTTACATGTTTCATTTGTAACAATCTGTTTGACTCAACTTTTACTATTTCTATTTTGAATAACCTGTTAGATGAACTGCACGGATATAGTTTTTGAGCGCGAAGGATGGAAAATTTCAATCAACAATTTATTGTAGAAAAATAAACTATATATCCAATCATTCCAATAGAAATTACTATAAACAACAATAATTAGATTTTTTTTCTCTGAAATAAAAAAAGTTTCACTAAATGACGGGTGATTAAGGGTTTGAATCATTTGATGAAGAGATTGGGATAGCTTTATACAAATAAAACGTCGAAGGTTTATGTGAAAAATCAAATAAAGCTCATGAGGAAATGAATTTATCTATATACTAGTGAAAAAAAAAAAATCACTATGACGTTGCTACGAGTTGGTCCTATTTTTTTTTTTTTCCTGACGGAGGGGGTATCCGGGTCATCGGGTAAATCGGACCCGACTAATCCCCCACCGGCTCGAGAGGAGAGGCTCCATCCCCCGAACACGATAACCATGGAATTCGAACCCTAGCGGATATTGAACAACTGCTCCTAAGGAGGTGTGCGTGACCAATCGAACTGCCCATGAGAGGTGGGGTTGATCCTAATTGGTGAGGATGTTTATTCCCAAATGCTATTTCACCTTTCCTTGAGAAAGGCGTCAATCCTACTATATTATTTTAGATAAATTAAAAAGCTTACCGACCATTTTTTTTTCCTTTTCT